GCAAAGTCTTGCTTTCCCTTTATATTTGGTTGAAGTTTTTCTATCTTTCTCTTCTAACGCCAGTGTGCTGGGAACATCTGATTTCCTTGGTAAGGAAACTGTCGTTGGAAGGCTAGATGTGAATCATCTGTCTGGATGAATTAGCACACTGCTGGTTTGCCATTCATTGCTGAGTTTAAATTCTGGTTGTTTTCTGCCTCCCCTTTCAGATCGAACTTGGATCCTTTCAATCAGTACAGTGAAGAGCAAATCTGGGCTGCTTTGGAAAGAACTCATATGAAGGAGTGTGTAAGTATCATGTGCCCTGTGAGATACATGTTTGTATTTGGCTTCCAAACCAACATATTCTGTTAGTAACTACTTTAGATAAAGCTTCCCCCCCTCATTTTCAATGTTTTATTTGACTGATTTTTCTTTTTCCCCACTATTTTATCAGACTGTGTTGGGGTTTTTTTGAGAACAGGCTGTATTCTGTGTGTGTACTCTTTTTAGTCGATAGCATAGCAGAGTGCTGCTTCATCACAGGGATTCTTAAGGTGTTAAAATGTTTCCAGTGATATTTTTACCCTTCAAGTGATATTTTTCTATATATGCCTCGGGTGTGCATTCTGCACTTATATTTGTGAGTGTGCATGTCACATGTGCACGTTTATACTGAACTTGTAAGTCAAGTGGCACATATAGCTATGGAACACAGGCTGCAGGAATTCCTGCAGGGACTAGGTTCACTCTCTTCTCTTGATGACAAAGATTATCAGGAGATCTGTATTTATGTTTATAAGATTTTGTGCAATGCTCTAAGATTTTTTTTGCCTTTTCCTTCCCCCACAGGTTGCACAGCTGCCTATGAAACTTGATTCAGAAGTAATGGAAAATGGGGAAAACTTTTCTGTTGGAGAGAGACAGTTACTGTGCATAGCTAGAGCTCTACTGCGTCGCTGCAAGGTGAGCACAACAATGAGAGAAACAGCTGGAGATATCAAACTGATAGGAGTGAACAAGCCTTTTTGTGCCAGATTCTGTCAGAGGAATCACATCAAAGATTAGATTAGGTTAGAAAAACTAGGAAGGCATTTGTAGCCAGCTGTGAGCTCCTGTAATGTCCTGCCGTTGGAAAGGCACTGCTTGCCAGTGTTAACAATAGTGTGTCAGACTGGCCTGGTAATTTCTTCAGTGTCCTGTTAGCAGTGAGCATCAGATTTTTTTCCTTCTTCCACCTTTTTGTGAGTGTGAGCCAAGTTTTTTTCCATCTACATGGTACTCCACTAAAATGTGATCTACAAATGGAATTTGGGATCATGCTGTGCCAGCAAAGTGAAAGGTTTTGCAGAAATAGAAGACAAACAATAATTACAGTGAGAAAGATGAAAGCAAGTGTGATCTATAGGGTAATTTTGAAGGCAATTACATCAATAAAACTGAAAGGGTGTTTGTGAAAACTACCTTTGTGACCACAACTCTGTAAGGATTGCCAGTTGTGACAACTCTTGGCCGTGGCAATTCTGCCCACTCTACGTATTTTTATGTTTAGGGAGGGAAAGCATGACGGTGAGTAACAGCCAGGATTCTGTGCTGCTTTCAGATATTGATCCTTGATGAAGCAACAGCTGCTATGGACACAGAAACGGACCTACTGATTCAGGAGACCATCAGAGAGGCGTTTGCAGACTGCACTATGTTAACAATTGCTCATCGCCTGCACACGGTACTGGGCTGTGATCGGATCATGGTGCTAACACAAGGACAGGTGAGCAGCAAGGCTTCTGTGGCTGCAGCCCCTGTTGCCTGGTGATGCCATGTGTGCAGGCTGAACTGGGGCAACAACTAACATTACAGGGTGGGAAATCCTCTGTGTTCATTCACATCCTTGGTAAAATACTCCAACACAAGCAGTTGCTGCCTGACTGTGACAAGATCAGAGGGCAAAATATCTTTTACACTCCAAGAAAGTATCATAGAGTGACAGTCTGTCTTTAAAAGTGTTTTCAAATCTCCATTTGTTTGTTATTACCTGTCTCAGAATTAACCTACATCTCTGGGGCTTAGTGGTCATTTCCCATTACTTTCATAAAGCCTTGTGCCGTCAAGCGGGTCTATGACAGATGCTTAACCTATTTTCAGGCTTCCATTTGGGAGCCATGGGCAGTTAAATTAAGTGCAAGAATAGTGGGCAAGACTCTTAAAAGTAGAGAAGGCAAAAGCCCATAGAATCTGCCTCTGCCAGAGCCACCAGAGGTTGCTTCCTGTGAGTTAGTTCCAATGTTTGAGCCAGTCCAAAGCATTCCAGGTTACAGTATGTATCCATAAATGCACGTACTTTCACTGCCTGTTGTCTAATCGAAAGATGAATGCTGTGGTTTTGATTCTTTACTACCATGTCACAAGTCCAAGGGGTAGGAATCCATTTTCTGCTGGATTTTACTGACATACTTTACTTGCCTTGTTTGCTTTCAGGTTGTGGAATTTGACACGCCGTCTGCCCTTCTGGCCAATGAGAACTCGCGCTTCTATGCTATGTTTGCTGCTGCGGAGAACAAGGTTGCTGTCAAGGGCTAAAATTCAGGGCAAAGTCACTTTAATTTTGGAGAGCTACACTCCCTGCCTGTGGCAGGCCAGCTCTTCCTCCTCCTCCTCCTCCTCCAAGCAGATTATTGCCTTTTCATCTTTTAATTTTTAGCACAATGTGTCAAGCCAGAGTTTTTAAAACCATGTCAGAAGAACTCTTCATGTTTTTATTGTTGTATTTATTCCATATTACTAATTTTTTGTTATTAAATGCACTCTACAAATGGCTCAGGGAGCCATAGTTATAAATGTATCAGAGGCCTATAATGAAGCTTTATACATGTAGCTATATCTATACATATTCTGTATATAGCCTATATTTACAGTGGAAATGTAAGCTGTTTATTTTATATTAAAATAAGCACTGTGTTAATAGCAGTGCATATTCTTTTCTATCATTTTTGTACAGTTTATGGTACCAGAGATCTGGCTTTGTTATCGGACTGTATCAGACACCATTTTGTCTTTTACAGTTCGCCTTTTCCTAGTGCCGGATTTTCTGTGTGTCTGAGTGGAAGTGAAGCTTTGCAATAGTGTCCTTTATTGTCACATCTTTGTCTAGCGCAGCAGAGAAGAGCTCTGTGGTGTAACTATTGCATTGTAATTTATCAAAGCTATTTGGAGCATCGCTAATGTTCACCACGGCAGCAGCTGCTGCTTCCCATGATGCTTTTCCAAAGCAGGGTTTTTAGTGATCTGAGTGGAGAATCACTCCTGGGTCGCATTAAGGCCTTGTATTTCCTCAGTGTCCTGACACAGTATTTCTTACTGTATCAGCAGAGTTTATTTTAATGCAAGCAAGCCCAAGCTCTTCCTGCTTCGCTGATCTAACACAACCAAAATCTAACTGTTCGTGGAATGATCTGTAACAAATTAATCATAAGGTTCAAATCATACCCTGTATGGTAGCAGGAAAGCCTTTCCAGAGTTGCTTGAGCTGACTGACTCCTTTACCTTGAAGCTGCTAACACTCCTCAGAGGTTTAGGTTGGCTTTCACTGGCATGGGTAACACTAACTCTTTGTTCTGCTCACTTATACTAAAACTAAACAACATCAATATTTCCTGTTCCTTTATTGCACACTTGTTAAGGAAGCAGTCCTCGACCCCACGTCTTCTGGAACCTTAAACAGGTTCCTGTTGATCAGGATGTAACACTGGTGTAGGACATGGTTTTCTTACTGTAAATGACCTACCTCAGGTTACTGGGTCCTGCGTAGTGCATTGCCATGATCACTGTACACCATCCCCATTTTTGGGGCCTGTGGCCCAGGGGGACACGGTTGCTCTTATAATAGCTGTGACTTATTGAATGGTCAGCGTTGCATGTCTTTGTCAACTTGGACATTTTGTAGCCTTAGCATGTTTGCAAAATGTCTCATTGAGGCAGAAATCTGAAAAAGTAAATAAAACTATTTTGGGTTTTGTAAATTTTATTGGCTTAAGTGGTTTGTTTTGGGCAAATAAATGACTTCTCACCTTTTTCAGCCCTGGGGGACAGGTTTGCAGGCTGGTTTGGGGTTTTTTTTCTGGTCATATGCTGTGGTTTGATCTTTCTTCAGAGTAGAGGTATTTCTTTAAAAGTGTGCTCTCTGGCATGAGGATGGCTTACAATACTTGTATGTTGAGTAGTAAAGGCAGTAATAATTTATAGTACAAGTTTTTAAGCCAAGTAGAAGGGCTGAGGTCAGATGGAATCAGAAGATCCTTCTTAGGCTCAGATTTTCCATTTTCTTTACTTGCAAATGGTACTGTTTATAGTGTCACATTTCTGCAGTCACAGTAACAAGCATTTCTACCTACCGATACCACAGGCAAATTGTCGCTTTAACAGAGCTTGGAATGTAGCTTGAAAACAGCACAAAAAACATCATTTGTTGTGATTGTTCTTAACTCTTGTCCTTAGCAAGAATTAACTGGCACAGACCTTACCCTGCTCACAGGCCTTGAGTTTACCCCACGAACTTCAGGATTTCCCTTGAAGGAAGTGGGCTAATGCACTTAGTTCTCGAGTGCTGCTGGGCTCAGTGTGTGGCTTCGTTTTGCAGCTAAGGCTGAGCTAATGGCAGTCTGGGCAGAAGGGGAGCCATCCTGATCTTATCCTCCTTCTTCTTCCAGGCTGGGAGTTCCTCCTCCTTTCCCGATGCAGGAGTGTCTCTTGTGTGGTCCAGCAGTGACCCAGTTCAGAAAGCTAAGTTGCAGAAAGGTCACCCTCCAAAAGCAGGAATGCTGTACAAAGAAGGAGACAGGAAGGCACAGCTGGAAGGGAGGTGAAGTGGGGCTGCTCTTTTCAGTAGGTGCTGACTGTGACAGTAGCATAGGTATGAGAGGAAACCATGCTCAGCATTCACTGCACCAAACTGCTGCTTCCCAGTCATGCTCTCCAAAAGAGCTGAATCTTTCCTGCTGCTTTGGTAAGCTGAAATAGCTCAACAAGATGTCAAACAAGGACCTGTGATGGAGCAGGTGAACAGTCACCTGTGGACAGCAGGGATTAGCTCAACCATTTTGTTAAACCTTGGCTGCACAACTGTTATTTTGGAATTAAAGACAGAGACTGCCAGAGGGAAACGTTCTTTCTGTTGTATTCGCTTCTCTGCTTCACTTGGCACTTGTCTCGCAGACTTACTGAAGTACTGCTGTTCACATGGATAGCTGTAATTTTTTTACTGGCTTTCATCCTCCATCACAGGAGCAAGTTGAGGCCTGGCCTGAGGCCCTGTCACTGAAATGGAAGGAAGAAACATCAATATTTACAAATGAGACTGAAATATCTCTATCTTTGAAGCATTCTACAAGAGGTTGATGATGATGATTGAAATTTTCAGGAATTGGATTGTGCTGTAGAATTTATAGTGTGTTATCCCAGAGAAGACTTCATCCTATGGAGAGTAGAATAAGACACCGGGACTGGGACAGACTTTCCTTAAAACCATCCTACCCAAAGTAGCATGGAGATAGCACATGCTTCTGTTGTGGTTTAATCCCAGCTGGCAACTAAGCCCCACACAGTCCTGTGGGGTAGGGGAGAGAATCAGAAGGGTAAAACCTAGAAAACTTGAGAGTTGAGATCAAGACAGGTAACAGGGAAAGCAAAATCCATGCAAGCAAAGCAAAACAAGGCATTCATTCTCCACTTTCCACAGGCAGGCATGTGTTCAACCATGTCCTGGAAAGCAGGGCTCCATCATGTATTATGGTGACCTGGGAAAAGACATCACTCTGAATGTCCCCTCCTTCTTCCTCAGCTTTTATGATGCCATGTGGAATAACCCTTTGATCAGCTGGGGTCAGCTGTCCCTGCTGTGTGTCCCCATCTATCTCCTTGAGCACCCTCAGCCTCCCTGCTGGTGGGGTGCGATGAGGAGCAGAAATGGCCTTGGCTCTGTGCAAGCACTGCTCAGCAACAGCTACAACATTCCTGAATTATCAACACACAAACCCAAAACACAGCCTGATACCAGCTACTGTGAAGAAAATTCACTCTACCCCAGCCCAAATCAGCACACATTACAGCAAAGGCTGTGGCCCAAGACCAGCAGGTGTGCAAGTGGAGAGAGATTTGCCTGGGATAACCAGTTGCTGTATTGCTCTCTGTAATTTAAATTGCATCAGTTTTGCTTATTCTGTCCAAAGTGCAGCCAATCCTGATTCATTATCATAAGCTTAGAGCCTCTTCAACATTTTCCTGCTCATCTCAACTGTCTGATGAGTGGAAACATTGCACTTGCTTGGGACTTCAGTCAAAGCACAGGTAAGATTCTTCTAAAATTACCCAATAGAGTTAATGTGCACTTAGACTGGTGTAATTAAGCCCAAAATCAGTCCCTGAAACTGTACTGGCTTGAAGACCTGAGGAGACTTCCCCCTTACCTGGGGTGAAGGCTGTACAGGGTCAGATCCCGAGGCTGGTGGGGCTGTGCTTTGCTCATCACCTGTAGGTGAGAGCCAGATCAAGCAGTCTCAGTATGTCACTGAAAAGAACATTGAGAAAGGCAAATTTTTTCAGAAGATAACCGGTGTGAGTGAGAGAAGGTGTCAGAAGGATAAATACAGGACATTTGATTTATTAAAGGAGGATGTGGAGAGCAAAGATAGCAGGACAAAACGTTTCTCTTAATTACAAAGGGGATTGCAAAGACAAAATTGCTTTTTGAAGGTGCTTTGAAAGAACACTGAGAAGGTATAGGGTAGCTGTACTGCCCTCAGCAACCGAAGAGCCTCCCTGAGTGCTATGTTGTTATTTTTTACCGCAACTGTAGCATGTGTTCTACTATATATAAGTGATTACACAAAGGTTTTCTTTAGCTTCAGGTCTGTCTAGGGTGATATTGTGATTTGTTTGACCCTTGTTTCAGCTGGTGACCGCAGCCACGTTGTGCTGAGGCCGCAGTTTCTGCCTCCAGCATGACAACATAGTGGAAACTCAACTGGAATTTGGTGCAGATGCTGTTGTTAGTGCAAGGCTTGGGAGGCTTTTACAATGTACCACTACGGGTTCAGTAAAGCCACAACCATGTAAGAAATGTTCCTGTGTCATCTAAAATATGTGCCTTGGAGCCTCATCAGGCAGCTGAGGTGTAGGCAAAGTGTAACAGTGAAAATTGGAGTGAAAATAACTTACAGAAGTGTCACTACATGGGGCTGATTACCCGGACACCTCTCCTGGGCTGCAGGGAGTGCAAATCACAATTACTTGCAGCACACCTCCTTCCTCCCAGCTTGCTGACTCCTGCTGTTGCCATGCAGAGAAACAAGCGATTGTACAAAGCTGATAATTTTGTGGTTTCTGTCTTTTCCGATTTAGGAAGGCAGCAGTGGATGGCGTGTGACTGATTGCCTCGAGGATTTGGGGAAGAATAAAGTCCATTATGTGTGAGCTGCGCTCTGGGGGCAATTTGGAGTGAGAGTTGGAGGCAGGCAACGATGGGAGGGAAAAGATTTTTAAAAAGAGTGTGTGTATGGTGCAGGGAACAGGGAGGCTTTTTAGGGTTAGCCTGTGAGCTACATGTGGGGGGTGTGACCAGAAAGGAGGAGGCCAAAATAGGTACCGGTGGGATGAGGGTGCAAGGATCAGCCCGGCTGGGAGCCGTAGTGTGGAGGGCTTGAGGGTGTTTGTCGTGGATCTGGCAAGGAGGCGGTGAAAATTAAGTGTTCAGGCGGTGCGGAGGGGCAGAGCCGGCTGTGAGGGGACAGGAGTGACCTGAGCGGGGCACTGCGGCCGTGCCAAGGGCCGTCCCCAGAGCAGGAGCGCTGGGATCGGTGTGTCCGGGGAGGCGGCGGTGGTCTGGAGGCTGTGGGGAAGGCAGGGGAGCTCTGCGTGGGTCGGTGTGGGCGGGTGCGCACTGAACAGGGGGCGCGGCCGCCGGTGCGTGGATCCGCACGCGTGGGCCTGGCTGGGCGAGCAGCGCCCACGCCTGTGGATGGATGAACGGAGGAGTGGACGGAGGGGAGCGGGTCCGGAGCAGGTTTTTTTTTTTTTTTTTTTTTTTTTTTTTTTTTTTTTTTTTT